AAACAAATAATTTTGGTGTCACACAGTCAATCAGTTGCAGGAAATCAAGAGCAACAGCTGAAAAGATAAAGTACCGTGGGCAGCTGATGGTGGGAAGCTACGCTGTAATCTTCCATACCATGAGCTGGGGCTGTGTGAACTAATCCTGTCCCTTTTGTCATTGTCACGTGATTTGCAGGTAACAGGGGAGAGACTCTGCCAGAAATGGTGGGATGAGCACAAGAACCATCTGCCAAATCTGCACCTGAAAAATACAAACAGAAGATAAAATAAACACAACTCACACGTTCAACTTCTTCTATCAGAGAGCAGAAAAAAAAACAAGTGGTTAAAAAAAACCAGAAGAAATAATATTATTAAAGCCTTGCTGCAAGTCAAGAATCACAGAGATTAAGGAATGTGCCATATGACAAAATGGTGTTCACAGAATGATTTTCTCCTAGAAGGAACATGATTAAGAACTGCCATCACAAAGTTATGTACACAAATACAGAAAAGTAACAAATATAATTAATTACTGAATATATGGGAAGTTAAAAACAACAGGTTTCAATATAAAATTTCTTTTTTAACAAGATCCAACTCTATTACTCTTGGATGTTATGTGTAAATAGTATGAAGAAAAAGTTGGAAGTATGATTCAAAAAGGTGGAAGCTGTGAGAAAAAACACCCTCAGGATTTTCATCATTAGGTAAAACAACACTTCCTCTGAAAGAGAAGGCATGGAAAGACACCAAAGACCCTAAAGAAAAAAGAAAACAAAAAGTCATAGAAACCTCCTTTACAAACGCATATTTCCAGCACTGAATCACTGATGTCATGAATTTTAAAAATTCATTTGAAATCTATGGATAATAATTTGAGCTACAACACACCAACAGTAAATCTGACAGACTCCTCCTCCTTGTATTATTTTAGTGAAGCATATTCTCAGATTATAAACACATTTAAATGAAGCAGTATTCAGACACCTACAAGCAGATCTCTAAGCAATTTAACAATTAAAAAAACTACCTTTACACGTTGATACAACTTCAAACTGTGTGTCCAGAGCAGCAGCTGTAGATTCAACTCTATCTGCAGCAAGGATGAAGTGCTGTCCAGTTGTTGAACATTTTACAATTGAGTATCTGCAATGCAAACGTGAATTTATGATACTAAATAATTACAAACACCACAAAGCTACCAATTTGTGAAATTCTTCATCTCTAAAAGACAGACAAGTATGCTTTACATGTCCAATTCACTCACAAATCTCAAAATTCAAGGTAACCATGAAGAAGAAATAAGAAGAAATGAAGAAGAAGAAATAATTTAATAAAAATTTAGGCAGAAATTAATATATTAGTAGATATAGAACAAAGCTTACAATTGTAACACTTAAAAACAAAACAAAACAAACCCCAACAATACCCAAAAAAGATGCCTTAAGTAAACTGTAATGACAGCCCAGAATGTTTTAATTTTGCTGCTAAATACCAGTAGGGACTGACACAGACAACGGAAGCAAGTGGATGACACCTACGCTGAGTCAGGCATGTAACAAACGGCTTGATTGGCTGGCACAGTCCAAGGCTGCGTGGTCCAGACTAGCACACTAGCAGGGGATGATCCATCTACAGATGGAAATTAGAAGCACTTTACTCACAGTTACAACAAAAATCAAAACTGTCAGTCTCTAAAGCCACAGAGAAGTCGTACCTATCACAGAAGTCAGCTTAGGTGGCGACTTCAGCAGCGGAAATTTCACGTACACAGAGCGACTGACGTGCTGCTCGTTGTACTCCAGTTCTGCCTCAGCCAAGGCTGTTCTGATACACATCAAACACAAGTTACATGCTGCAACATCAAAAGCTACTGGCATCCTTGCTAAAATTATGAAGACAAAATAGTAAGTTGATTCTTACTTTGTGGAAGGGGACCAGAACACAGGTTTATAGTCCTGGTAAATTAAACCCTAGAGAGGACAGTGAGGGGAAAAAAAGAAAGTTAGGAGAAACAAAACTCATGAAAAATCAATACAGACTTCCACAGAAGTTCAATATACCTTATCATACATCTTGTAGAAGACTCTCAGCTGGTTTGCTTCGTACTTTGGATCAAATGTAAGGTAGCAGTTGGCCCAATCTGCCATTACACCCCAACGAATGAAGGCGGATTTCTGTTTCTCAATTGCTCTTTCTGCAAATGCTCTGGCTGAAAGGAATGGCTCCATTAAGCACATGGTTTAGCACACTAAGATCAATAAAATATCACTTAAAATGCACTATTGATTTTTTAAATAAAGCCAGAGCTGAATGTAGTGAACCTATGCCCTAACCATTATGGTTCAAAATACATACATTTCAGATTGGTTGTTACAAAAAATGACTGCAAAGAGTAAACAGGCTTGGCAGTTTTTCACTAACACAGGAATATTAAGCACATGTCCTTGGACTACAAACTTTCTTTTTAAGAAAGGGGGGAAAAATATACTTTGTTAGGAAGAAAAATTTCTCAAAATAAGTTCTCAACATAAAACCAATAAGAGTGAAAGTTAACTCCCTCTGTTTATGCTTATTCAAAATTTTTTAAGTAACATACACCTGAAAATAAGTTAGTCCATTTCATTACCACAATTCCAAATTAAAGAAGTTTCAATTGCTCATTACAAAAAGCTTTGCAGCTGAATGATGATGCCTTTCAACCCATATTGTATTTGAAATTATTTCTTCAAAACAGTTTCCATGTAATACACACTTTCTTCGAAAGGGTGCCCCCTATAGTTTTAGAGGACTGTTAAAAAGTGAAGAAATACATTCCTACCTGTGATACTGAGCTAAGCTGTCCTGAAAGAGCCTGACTTCTACATGCATCTTTTCAGCTCCTAATCAAATTCAGCCTTCAAAAACCAAAAGGATGCTTATCTGATAAATTGCAGCTTCCTGCCCCTCTACAGTTAATCCAAGCAGACATCCAAATCCCCTGCCCTCCTTTTGTTTTTTTTAAACTGAGGGTCAATGCTCTGCATGCCCATTACCACAACAAATTAAGCTTGTGTGAAATTACCCCACTTCATCAGATTCCAGCCTGCTCTACCTGCTTGCCAAATACACCCAGTGATCACAGAAAATGCCACCAATAGCTAAGAGAAAAGGCCACAGTGAAGTCTAAAAGCCTTCATTTACCTCTCTGCCGAATTTCCATCGGTGAAAGGTTTTCAGCTCCTTTGACTTCTGACAGTGCCTTCAACTCAATTGGCAGCCCATGGCAATCCCACCCAGGCACATAATGCACTTTATAACCTCTCATCACATGGAAGCGATTGGTGATGTCCTTCAGAATCTGAAAAGCCACAAGGGTCTGTTATCACTTTAGCTCCCCCATATGGAACAGCCACATCTGTAATTAAGCTCCTCCTTTTTAAAAAATACAATTATCAAAAGCTGCAGGATAAATTTATATTTCAGACCAGAGAGGCTCTGGGTGTCCCATCCTTGGAAGTGTTCAAGGCCAGTTTGGATGAGGCTTTGAGCAACCTGGTGTAGTGGAAGATGTCCCTGCCCATGGCAGAGGGTCTGGAACTAAATCATCTTTAGGGTCCTTTCCAAACTAAACCACTCTGTGATCCAAAGACTCTGCTTTTTTTATTTTCTTGCTTATCATTTTGTACATTGGCAGAACCTTAGAGGACCTCTGATCCAAGGACTTCACAACCAGTGTAACTGAGAGATGCAGCTTATAAACTTGCAAGACTTGAAGTGAACAAATCTGACTTATTCTCTTTTTTAAAACACTGAACTAGACCTACAGCACTGGCCTAGAGCACATTCCTGCAGCCCAAGCTCTGGCACTGGGACTGTGAGAAGCTGTGGGTGACAGCTCACGATTTGAGTCTTTCAAACTTGATGGTCAGCGTATGCTGTGAATCTCAAGGCTGAATCAAAAAGAACACTGAGCATTCAGTACACAGTATTTATGTTGGGGTATAGTATGTATGTCAACATGGCAAAATATGGCATCCACATAGTCATACTACTGCTTTTTAAAAGCCCCAACGACCAAAATCGCAAACGTTTTAAAGTGCTATTGATTTAAATGGGAATGGAGAACACAGGGCACATGGCGGCAGGTTTTTTACCACTTCACAAGAATAAAGTATGAACAAGTAAGTATTTACTTTGTTTAATGCATGGCCAACATGAGGGTCTCCATTGGCATAGGGTGGTCCATCATGCAAACAAAATTCCTGTTTTGTCTTCCTTTGCCTTTGCCATGAGTACAGTTCCGAAAAACCACATTTCTGTAGAAACAACAAAAAAAGACCAAAACTATCATAACTCTCTGTACCCTCAAAACGTCTGGATGTAAAATTTGCAACAAAAGCAGGCAGGCAAACAAACACAGTTTTCTAACTCCGCAAGAGAAGACATTGGTGGGTTTTAAGTACGAAAAAGGCCAAAGAAGGTGAAATATTAGGCCTGAGATTATTATCCTAGCACTGCACTATCCGGACGGCCGTTACTCTCCTCCAAAACAAACTGCATAAAAGTTATGACTATCCAAACCAAAAATATCTCAAGAGTTCGAGCTTTTCTAAAAAAGAGCCCGGACTCGCCAGAAGTTCGCCTTGCGCGGCGGGACCGAACACAAACCCCGGCGGCCACCCCCGCCCTCCCGCCGGCCGGGGCTCGCCGCGCCCGGGGCAGCCCCGCTCCTCCCGGGGGAACCGGCCAGGGCCCGGCCGCACCTCCTGCGTCTTCAGCTCCGTCTCGGGCTGCAGCCGCCCCGGGAGCTGCGCGGGGAAGCGGCTGCGCGGCAGCAGCACCGTGTCCCGGTACCGGGAGTCTTCCCGGCTCTCGGCCGCGGCCTCCGAGCCGGCGGAGCGCGCCCAGCCCCGGGCGGCCCCGGCCCGGGCCCGCGCCAGCGCCGGCGCCCGCCAGGCCCGCAGCATCCTCACTGGCTGCGGCCGCGCTTCCGCCGGCGCGACGGGCCGCGGCAAGGGACACGCCGCGCCGGGCGGGCGGCACGGCGACTGCTCGGCGCTCCCGACGGGCCGGGCGAGAGCTTGAGCCCCGCCCGGAGCCGGAAGGATTCGGGACCTTCCCAGGTGGATTGGTAGAGGCAGCGAGTCCTCTCCCAAGGAGCCGGCGCAGAGGCCTCGGTGCGCTGCGGGCGGGGAGCGGCGGCGCTGGGGCGTGGGTCCCTCCTTGGCACGGGGACGAACGCGAAGGGCTCGGAGCGCCACGCACGCTGCCGGCGATCGGTGCCGGGCTGTGGGGGCCTGTGGAGATCCCGGGAAAAGCGAGGCTGGACGCGGTGAGTTGGCGGCTGCGCCCGCAGAGCCGCTTCTGCCATCCCTGACAAGCCGTGGTGTGTCCGGCCGCGCTCCGCTGGGTACGTTCGCGGGCACCGCCCCGAGCTCCGGCTGCGCTGCCCTGCAGGCGCTTTGCCACCGGGACTGTCATGGCAAGAGAATCGGGAACAGGTTCCCTGTTGGAATCCATAAGGTTAGAGGCAGTTCCCTTGGTTTTCTCTTTGGTGAAATGAGCTAGCACAGCCCTTTCCCGCTTGGAAGTCTGTAGGTGAACCTCAATGGGGTTCCCACCATGAGTCCTAGCCTGCTTCTGCTGGGTAAATATTGCTCCCTTACATAATAGAGAGTTAAACTTTTATTAGGTGTGGGCCGAAGTTTGTTGTAAAGAAATAAGGAGCTGTGGTCGCTTAGGCATTGAAGAGTTCCAAGAATGAAATAATGGCTTAGCACTTGGGTTTAAGGACATGCTCTGTGTGATGTCCGCTTGCTCCTTTCATCAGGCAAAACCATAAAATTAGAAAATGGAAATTTGCATAAAAGAGAATGACAACCACTAATATGTGCTTTGATGAGTTAATTGTTGTCAGCCTGTAGTACTTAGATACATCAGAATTAAAAAGTAGAATGAGAACTCATTAATTTCAATAGGTATCGGAATAGGCTGATTTGGCAACACCATTCAACAGTTTAGTTGCTGGGCTAGAAGAAAGGAGGGAAGATCTTTAGAGGAAAATGATACCCAAGTTTAACTTGAGGGAATAATTGCTATGCAGTATTTGTAAACTGCACAGTTTTCTAGGAGTCAAACTATTTTTGTCCAAAGCACGCAATATATTCTTAATAAGTGCTTTGTGGAAGTATGCATTAGACATTGCCCTCATCAGAAGGAATGTGCCATAAACCTATAAATAAGTTCACTTGAGATCAAAAAGTTACAGAGGTGAAAATCTTAGAGGCAACTACTGCATTCACTTATCTGATCAAAAAGGTCCAATGCACCAGAAGACCCGCCATACAGGAAATGCAGCCCTGTAAAAATCTAAGGCACCTTTGCACTAATAAAATACTTTGCAATTCATTAAGTAATTAGTCCAGAGTGATGAGGAAGGGGTGTTGCACCTCTCATTTCAGTTTCTTCTAATAAAACTAATTTTTTCATAAAAGTATTTTAAGGTTTGCCAGGAGATCTTGGGTTCACCACAGAAAGTATATTTGTTTTCCCTAAGTATGGACAAGAAAAATGAACCTAAAAGTACCTTGGGTCAAGCTTCAAGAATGCAAGATAGTATTTCTGTATTGTTTTCTGAGTCTTTTTAAATTTTATGCAAACATAAAGTAAGTCAAGACTTTAAAACACATTTTCATCTCATTTTTGAAGTAGGATTAAATGTACAGTAAGAGGTCAAATGACTTTTTTTTGAGAAGCTGAACAAAGAATGTTACTTATGTTCATCTGAAAATTCATTTAAATTCTTTAATCCAAACTTTCCATCTAATATGCTACTTTTTTAACTCCTCAGAAGTTCTCATATTCCGTATATTTTCATTATGGAATAAACTATTTTCCTTCATGCTAACTTGTTTCACATGATGGTATAGACTTAAAACAGTATATGGCTTTCCATGTGTTATTATATATATTTGCTCTGCAACTTTCAATTGTTTGAGAGCTGCTTTTTGCCACAGGTACCATTTCCAAAAGTTCCTCTGTAACCATTGCTACTTGTCCAGGGTCACTTTGGGTATGGACCTTGGCTGTTCCACAGAACTCCAATGCACTTTGTTCCCCTCCATCAGCTGGAAATAATAATTAACATTAGCAACTGTGCTTTTTGAATGTGCTTGCACAGTCATTCTACTCTTTCAGCCTCAGAGTGCTTCTGACTTTACTGGTACAGGTATGGTGTTACTAAAATGGTCAAAAAGTTCTTAAATTGGCTAAATTTGGGATTCTGATACCTCTGACATTGCTGATTTGTGAACAGCCATGAACTTCATTTGTCAAGGAAGAAAGGAAAGGTGTGGTATACAGTAGCATACATAATGCATAGTTTTATGTTAGAAGTTACTTACAATATGGTTTCATATGGCTGATGTTTCTGTACCTATTGCCACTTAGGCAGGACTTGCTGCAATTGCAATATTTATTATAGGATTGTTACATTACACTTCCCCCATAATATATTTTCTTTTGTGATCAGTGAGTTCCTCTGTATTTTGTTCTGGCTCTGCTCAAGTGTTTCCTTGGAAGTGTGTCACACATCTGAGGCCAAGCCAAAAACTGTGTCATCTACACAGACAGAAACAACTAATAGAAAAACATAAAAAGCAATTATCTCTGCATTTTAAAAAAAAGGCAGTGTGTTTATCAATACCTCTTTTTCCTGAGCTCCAGAAAAGCTGTGAGGAATGCCAGCCTTTCCAAGGGTGATGGCTGTTCTATTAGTATCCTGATTCTGTTGCTGACTGAAGGTCCAGTGAATTGCACTGGTTTGTGCTGGAGAACAGATGAGGAAGACAATGCAATATTAAGAATGATAGAACACAGACTGCTGAGGGGAAGCAGGAAGATAGACATTGATTTCCTTAAAGAAATCAGGAGAAGTTAAATACAGAAAGGACAGTTAAATTCAGATGGCTAAATTCAGCTTTTGCATACAAGTTAGCAGTATCTGCATATCATTACCCTACTTTGTGTGCACAATTGGCCATCTACAAACCCCTATTTTATAGTTAAACAAGGGAATAATAAGTGAAGTTGCTGATGTCATCCTGTCTGGTAGTCTTGTGCTTGAGTTTTGAGCACGAACCAACTGTAGGTTCAGTTCTGAAGAAATGAACTGATGTTCAAAGTGTGCAAAAAATGAGTGCTGTGTGTAGACTCTTCTTTTTCTTAATATTTATGATAAGAGTTTCTGCTGCTGCTGTTGTTGTTTTTTAATGTCATTCTATTTTAGTGAGAACCAGGTTCACTGTCAGACAGAACTTGGGTATTTGGAAGATCTTGTCTACAATAGCTTTACATCCTTGTGTTCATTAATTGTATTTTTAAAAAAATCCAAAGCTCACCTCGTTACCATTTACTGGCAGTAACCCACTTTCCTCTTTCTACTCTGTTTGAAACGTTAGGTAAAATACTCTACCGTTTTTCTTCTGTCAAAGAGAGAAATGTTCAAGTTTGCTTTTTGTTTCTTTTCAGCATTCAGCATGGCTTCTCCAGCTCTTCTCATGCGTGTGGTGGCCTCAGCATACTCTGTTGCAGAAAAAGCTGCAACAATTGTTAGAAATGTGATGTCTGCAGGAGATCTGGGCATAGTTGAGAAGGTATTACCTTTTACTTTGTTCCAATTTAATTTCACTTGTTAATCTTGAGTTAGATACAAGCCAAAGTGGTATTTTTAAAAATCAGCAACTGTGGGAAGAAATACAGCCCTCACCTACCCCGCCACCACCTACAACAAATATTCCTTTTTAAAGGATTAAAACAGCCCTAGAAAAGTGTCTTTTGACCAGTACTTCTACACAACACTTGTACATTTAAAAGAAACACCATAATTTTGTCCTGATTTCCCTCACAAACACAAGGTTTGCATAGCACCTCAAAATTCATAATAAGGAAATTAACAGAAAATATACTCTACCTATGCTCTCACATCCATAGTACAGCTTAAAATACCACGCTCTTGCTGAATTTTGGATTAGAATAGATCAGTGTTTGATTTCCTAAAACAAAAAAGAACCTTAGCTTTTATTGTAAATCAAAGTTTTCAAAATAAATTCAGATTTAAATCAAATTCAAATTTAATTCTAAAAAGAAAACAGGTATTAAAGTTCTTAATTTGCTGTAATTTACAAGTTTCACCAATGAGCCAGGATCTTTGCTTTGACTACAGTACCAGAATAGGTGAAATTAACTTTAGAAGTTAATTCTAGCTTTACAGATATGTAACAATATTAAGGGCATAATTAAAAAAAAAAATTCTTGGTCTTTACATTGAAGGTACCGTAGGAATTTACATTATCCTAAAATCATTAAATGTAACAGGTGATATTAGTTCTAAGTGAGATTGGTTTTACAATCTTAAATTTTTTGAAGAATGAATACTACAAATACAAAATTAGATTGCAAGCAATGACCAATAGAAGAGGTTCCTGTTTGAGGGACTAGAGATCTTGAAATTCCTGCAAGCTTCTTGCCAAAGGTGGCTGCTGAAGGAAGAGGAAGAAGGCAAAAGGACTTCTGCATGTGCCTTTCTTTGCAGTCTGAAGGGAAGAGATGCAGAACAGAAAGGAACAGAAGTGCTGCTTCTCATCATTCATCCTCTTTCTGTAGCCAACAAACACCAAGACCAATTCCAACTGGCCTTACTGAAAGCTTTAGAACATCTGGAAAGGGAATGTTCCACCTTCTCCCTCAACACAGTGACCCTCCATCCATTTATCTAGTTCAGGAACACCTGAGTTTTTACCATCTCCTCTCCTGATATCCTGAGTTTTCTTTCCCTCAGTCGACTCTAAGCTCTCCATTTATATTGCTTTCCTTGGTAGGGCTTGTACTTCCTCCATCCCCCACTTGGGATAGACACTTTTGTCCACCCATTCTTATATTGAAAAACTACTTACACTGTTTATTGGATTCATGTCCTGGAACAAAGGACATTCTCTGCAATAAATTGATCTTATTGAGTCTAAATTCAGGACCAATTTCAACCAAATTAATTAGGGGATGAGAGGGAAATTTCAAAGAAAAATGTCAAATTTCATAAAATTGTCACTTGGCTAAGGGACAGACTAGTTTTGAGCATGCAAAAATTAACCCACTACATGATTCTAAATAGAATATCCCATTCCTATGGCTAATTCCAGTAGCTGGATAAAACACTTTTCACATTGTCAGCAAATAAGATACAAGCAGATAGAATTTTTGTTTGATACAACTAAGATGCAAATCTTAGATGAACTATCTTTCTAAATTCCAATGCTAACAGAATTATTTCTTATTGGGATTCTATCTCTAGACCTAAAGGGTTTAAAAAGTGTTAGTAAGTTACCCACTTTCACATTTAGCTGTTAATTAACATTTAAGAAATTACTGTATGTGTGTGGAATATATGTCTGGCTATGTGACATTGGGAAGGCTTGCAGTCCTTCTTTTATGTCACCTTGGGGCACCAAATCCACTGTTCTACCGTCAGAGCAGTCTGTCTTAGCTCTGGGGTGCACAGGAAAACTCTGCTTCTTGCAGGTTTTAGCCTGCCTTTCACGAGGTCACTTACTGGGTTGAAGATTTACCAAATTAGACTTCTTTTAGATTACAAGCAGATATTCAGAGTGCTGTATGGGCCACTGAGGTGGTGTATTTTTTCACCTATCCATCTTGGACAGGCTGGACCCAATGACTTGCAGACTAAAGCCGACCGACTGGTACAAATGAGCATTTGTGCTTCCCTGGCACGGAAGTTTCCCAAGGTGACAATCATAGGAGAAGAAGTAAGTACCTGCTTCATTCACACTAACAGTTTATCTTGCTGTAGCTTGCAATGGAATTTGCTTTGGCTGGGTTTAGGAAAACATTAGTTTTAATTAAAAAAAAAGAACCCAAAAAGCAACAAATAAAGGTATTTCCATCCCGTTTCACCTTTCCATTTCTTTAGCTTTTTCAAGCTGCTGTCAAATACACAGCTCTAAAGCAAAATGAGGTGAGTCCAAAACATTTTTCTAATAATTCTGAGAATTCTTTTGTTAGGAGCTGCCCACTGATGATGTAACTGAGGATTTAATTGAAAATGGTCACTGTGAAGAAATACTGAAGAAACCTTGTCCTGCTCAGTACACAGGAATTAAAGAGGAAGAGGTAATGCTTAATATTTTACATTATCTATACTACTTTCTAATTTTAGCTAAGAGTGCACAATGAAGAAAGGTTTTTTCAATTTGCCAGTTTTTCTTTTTTGTTTGGAAACTAAAATGTAGTCATGAAAATCACACCTCCAGAGCCACAAATGCTGCATGCTCCTGTCTGCAGTAATGGGAAATGGAAACTGGCTTCTTACAATTTGTGATTCAAATTAATTTGGCAGGAATCTAGTTTGGACATATGAAAATAATCTCATTTTCCATTTCAGCTTAAACCTTCATACTTCTATTAAGAGATTTACTGAGACATTCCAGTCAATATTTAAGCTTTTTTTTTTGGTGTAAAATACTATAATAGGCTTCAGCCATATAATATTGTTAAAACTTTGGATCTCTTTATTTCCTTACTCCTATAAGGAAATAAAAGCACTAAAGTAAAATACATACTTTGAGTGTTAATTTATATGATTGGTATTTGTTAATTTTTCCTTATTTTTTATTCTTAAAGCTTGTAATATGGGTTGATCCCTTGGATGGAACCAAGGAGTACACTGAAGGTTGGATTTTCTTTTAATTCTCTTGGTAAAAAAAATAGCAATAGTAATAAAGTAGCATACAAAATGCATAGTTTTATGTTAGAAGTTACTTACAATATGGTTTCATATGGCTGATGTTTCTGTACTTTTTGAGTGCTTGGAATGTATTTATTCACTCTATTCAGTTCTAACCAGTACTGAATATTCCTGATGGACTGACCAGTTTTTATCACTTTAGAGCTGCCTTTGCTGGCTGGTTGTCTCGAGTCTTTAGTTAAATTTACATATTTTTTTGCATATCTTTGAGTTTAAAGGAGGACTAAAGACTAAATGACTAAATCTCCCCTTCAAACAGGAATATGCTCAATTATATTTACATCTTCCTCTCAAACGACCCAAATACTACAGCTGAACTTGTAGCCCTTTCAAAATGAAACAAACATCCTCCCACAAATCACAATTTTTCAGTCATGGCTAGAAACTGTTCTCAGCAAAGCCTAGTTTCTATCCATAGAAATAGACCCTAAAATGAAAGAAAAGCAAAAACAAAAAGAAAAACCTCCAAGAAACCATATGCTGAAATATGCTTTTGCCTCCCAATGCATCTTTTAGTTGATTTTATATAATCAACAATTTATGTATATATATATATATATATATATATAATCTTTTAGGCAGATTTTTTCCCTTTTTGGGGAGAGAGATGTACAACTGTCAATAAATTGTTAGTTTTGAATAGCATTAAAGAACTCCCTCCACAATTACAGAAGAATGTCATCATATTCTGCTATGTAGTTGTATCTTTAAATGTCCTTCTCATTATGTGTTAATTATAACATAGCTCTATTAAAAGAACTCTATCTGGGGCATTTTTTAGCAGACCTCAAAGCTAAACGACTAAAAAATTATATTAACATCTGAGAGTCCTGATTATTATTTGCATTTTTAAGATAGCACTCTGCATACTGATTTGTGGACTTTTATTGGAGGTTTATATTTTTATTAAGATCTTTCTCTTTTTCAAGCTTAACTACATTCCTGTTATTTCTGTCCAGGTCTCCTTGACCACGTAACGGTTCTCATTGGAATTGCCTATGGAGGCAAAGCAATAGCAGGAGTTATTAATCAGCCGTATTACAACTATGAGGTATTAAAACATTGATTTATTTAGAAGCATTGTGTGATTTCTAAATGTGACTCCTAAGCTATTTCAGTTAGCACACTTGCAACTGAAAAGGGGCATGTAATGGAATGTTGTAATGTAAGGTATATTGGGGTTTTTAAATTAAATATATATATAATTTTAAATGTTGGTTTCCAGGAACTGAATGTCAGGAACTTACTAACAACTATACTGAATCATGAGGCTGGTGTAATGCACTGATACAGAATATATTATGTATATACTGTGCAAATTACTACAGTCCTTATAAAGTACCTACTGTAAAACAAGTACAGGTCAGTGGTGCTGCAGTCTTTGCTAGAAATCCTTTAGTAAATCCATGCAATGGGTGCATTTGCAATGTGTGGTAACTGCTATAAATCTGCAGCCCTAAATAAACCAAGCATAAGTTGCCACTGACAGCTCAGAGTGTATCATCCCAGGCTTCAGGATGGCCAACCTACAGACATGTATATATTTGAAGATTATTTCAGTATTATTGGGGGAGCTCATGATACAGCCTGATGAATTAAACTTATTTGAGTTAAAAGAAAAAGCCCTTGAGCTGATGTAATACTATCATATTTTGTGTGACATGGATCACAAATATTTCAAATTACAAGATACTTTCAATTACAGATTGTGCCCCAAGTACAGAAATATACAAATATCAATCTGCCAGTCACTGGAGGCAGGATGTAATGCACCACCACAATGTCACAGATGAGAAAGGGGTCAATTATGTCATTGCCTTATAGGGAAAGAGAACTAATTACTCACTCTGGGCTCCCAAGTAGTTCTTTTTAAGTGCCACAGTTTAAATGTACAGCCCAGTATTAATGTTATAGGCCCTGATATGCCAAGATGCATCCAGGTACCCTTTCCCTTTGTGCTTTAACTGCTGATCAGTGTGATTAACCATCACTCTGTGCCTTTTTGCAGGCAGGAGCTAATGCTGTGCTGGGCAGGACAATCTGGGGAGTGCTGGGCATGGGTGCCTTTGGCTTTCAGCTGACAGAAGCACCTGCTGGCAAACACATCGTGGTTACCACGCGCTCCCACAGCAGTGCCCTGGTGAACGAGTGCATCGCTGCCTTGAACCCAGACCATGTCATCAGAGTTGGAGGAGCAGGAAACAAGGTATGAAAACTCCCAATCTTCTGGTTTTACTGGGAGGTGGCACCTTTGCAAAAAAAATAAAAAGACTTTTTAAAGAAATTATTTGCTTACTTGCATGAACATACAGGGGAGACTTCCTCCACCTTACCCCACACAACTTCTCTTCCTAGCATTCAGTCTGTTGTGAGGTTGAGAGAATTTGGCACGGGTGTATTTGTACCAGTGCCCACGCTGGTCATGGCTGAGGTCTGTCTTCCCCAGTATTCTGTTTTTAGGGGTGAAAATAAATGTTGTAAGACCAGAATGACTAAATGAGAATTCAGTTTAATCTCAGTTATTGGACATGTCCTCCTGCTTGTGTTAATACAGCTTTTGTTCCAACTACCTAGCAGCACATTTGAAAGGATAAAAATATAAGCACACAGTAATATTTCCTTTGTGAAATTTCTCTGCATACAGGGAACACTCATTTGGTACAGGTTTTAAAGCTCTTTTGTCATAGCTGTCAAAAACACACCTTCTCATCTCTTTTCTCCAACATGTGCAAGGCCCAAAGAGGCACTAACACAACATTTATATATTTTCCACTTTATTTTTTTAGTACTTGCACAAGAAGTGAATTCTTGTTTCTGAAACTGAGAGCAGATTTTCATCCCATAGACTGTATATATAACAATCAAAAATACTGAACTGGGAATGGTGATACAGTATAGCTTCTAAATTTTAATCCATTTATTGTAATATTAATAAGGAAATGGCTGGCGTTCCTTTCCTGACTATCAGTACTTAAATAAACAGATTTAATCCTCACTTCCTGGTGTTATTTCTACCCATTTCTAAATTCCTAAATCCTTTGCAATGATTGCAACTCTATTTGTAACAGATCATTCAACTCATAGAAGGCAAAGCATCTGCTTATGTATTTGCCAGTCCTGGGTGCAAGAAGTGGGATACATGTGCACCTGAAGCTATCCTACATGCTGTGGGAGGTAAGTTAATAGCATTCAAAGTTCCAGAATAAGTGAAACTACATTAATTTGAAGTTAGTTATGCTTTCCATTGAAAGAAAAATGACTATACATGTGTCAATAACTGTCACGTAATTAAAAAAGCCAAATCCCCAAATTTAATTTCATTTTAATATTTTCAAAACAAATGTCCCTTTTTTTTCCTATTGGCTACTATCTCACAGTAAAATCTGCTGTCCTACTAACTGAGTATAGTAGTTTATTATTAGTAACACATTATGTAATATGTGGACATTGAATTCTTTAAACCAACAAAAATAGGTCAAATCATGCTCTTGTTCTCTGGATGTACAAACTCCAAAATTGAGTCATTAATGTAATACAATAGAATTAATGGTCTCCAACCAACATGAGGCACTTCACTTATCTAGAGGCTAAAGGTGTTGGAAAGTTATGAAAAGACTCACTACTGAAAATTTGAAGTAGTATTATTTTTTTTAATTCTTCTTTCCACAATAATAGGCCTTTTACCACCATATGCTCAAATTATGGGGTTTGATTCCTAAATTCTGTCAAGCAAGGACAACAGGCTTCATAATGACACTATTGAACTCCTCTGCAGCCTGTAGTGTTCATAACTGTGGATAACTTTAAACAGGGTTAGCTCAAGCACAAAGCATCCCAACCAATCTGGGGCAGCACAGTGCTGTATTTAGCCTCTTTGGTAGGTAGGAATCTCCTGGTTAAATTAGCTTGAATAAAGATCTGTCTTGCTCTTGCTAAGTGATTCCTACAATCTCATTTAAAACCAGCTGGGGTGTTTCAACACTATGTTAGAGTTTGTGGTATAGACTTACCCTGGTTTTTACTTGAACTGAGGATTTTTCTTTGTTGCTTGTCAATGGCAAATGTTAAAGCTACTCAGGAAGCATTTAAAGTAATCCATGAGAAAGAAATTATTTCCTTTTTCTGAGACACAAAGAATTTAAGTATTGTTGAAAAAAAAAAATAAACCCACTAGTTATTTGATTTCAGTCAATATAAAACCTGTTGTACTTAAATTGAAGGAAAGATACTTCACATCTGAAGACAGGCATGTGTACCACAAAGACTGCTTTTAGTTATTTCAGTTGAACTAAGAGACTCCAACTCCTTTTTGCTGGAATATTTTTTCTTTTATTTTTTTTTCAGGCAAGTTAACTGATATCTGTGGAAATTCATTTCAGTATAACAAGGAGGTGAAACACATGAATTCAGCTGGGGTCCTTGCCACTTTGAGAAATTATGACTACTATGCCAGTCGCATTCCAAACACTGTGAAAGAATCTCTTGTGCCTTAAAGCAGGGAAGAGTCTTCACTTGGCCTGGAAGGCTGAGAAAATGAGCTTGGTAAAAGAAAGGAAGAAGATGACTGAGCATGAAACTCCGTTTCATAGAATCTGAACTGAATTCTTTCAGTAAGATGTTCAGTAATTTCAAAATCATACAGAATCTGTAAGTATCCGTTGATCGGATTGTTTGGCTGTGTTGAGCAGACAACATCAAAACAGTCATGTTTCTTTAGTAGTTATTTTCTATATTCTTTGGGAGTTTTTCTTCCTCATGACAGAGTGTAATATACTGCTAATCATAACACCAAAAATCATCTTCATATTCTGAGCACAAAATCATGTTAAGTCATTTACCTGATCTTGTTCAATGGTTTTTGTTGCCAATAAGGGTTATTGTGTTAAATACAAATGGACTAAGCATTTGCCTGGATGGATGATCCCATTTGTTATAAAGTTGCCAGTTTTGATTCTTAGAGGGGCTGCTGAACTTTTTTTTGGTCTTCACTGAGTTTTGGGATGGCCAGTTGGGGTGTCTGAGTTTTGCAGGAGGCAGGACACAATGCAGCTGGGCCTGGAAATCTCAAATAAGGGTTCATGGATCACTAGATTCAATGAGGATCAGTGAAGTGTACATACAGCAGAGTTCAGAACAGCTCAGCTGGAAACCCAAGGAAGCATGACAAAGGCAGGAGTTCCTAGCACCTCTATGATGATTTGAAATGATTTTTCAGGGTTTATGCCAGTGTAGTCTTGGAGCACTTTGGGCATCCAAAGCCAAGGTCACTTTGCATACTTGGGAATAACAGAAAAGTCATACTTTGAAATTTTCCATGTCCAGATTCTGAGATAAAGCAGGTTCCTTTCCAACAGCCCCAGAGTTGAGGAAGCTGACACTACCATTTCCCCTGCCTGTGGAACACAGGCATGTTAGAGGAGGGGAGAGAACAGGGCCAAGATCACCTAAAATTAACTTTGAATTGGAGATCCTGTTTCAGTCAGCTTTCCCATAGGTGTGGCTGTTAGGAAAGCAGGATTAAACTGCCCAGTCCACTTGAACACAAAGGAGAACCAGTGGTAAATTATGTATGACTAACTAAAATTGGAAACTTAGACAAACTCTTTTGAAGTCTCTTCAAGCTCAATTTAGGATTTTCGAATCACACTCTTGAACCAGTGAGGCATCTGTGCCCCTTCTTTTCTCCAGATGTTGTGACTCAAGTCCCTTACTCTCAAATGAAGGAGTCCTAGGGCCTCCTTTTCCCTATCAATGTGATACATATTGAGGCATGCCAGTTTCAACAGACAACATGGAGCTTTGCTTTTCTCTCTGTTCTCCTTGTGGAGAAAAGAGTGACATATTTCAGGTTCTCAGGCAGGTGGTCTCAGGGAAGGTGTCTGAACACAGCTGCTTGCTTACATAAAGACTGAATCTCTAAGCTCTCACACATGATTTTTTTCCTTACCTTCTGCCAGCACCATGAAAGCCAAAGTAGCCTGCAAGATGCACTACACCCTTTCTCACTTCCTCTCTGCCCACAAGATTAGGTCTTCTAAATAACTACACTCTTCATTCACACAATGAATGAGGCACTATCTTTACATGAGTGCCTCAAGGTATAAAAAGTTGTCTTCCATACAGAAGAAGGTTTTGAAATTCAGTTTTCCAGTGTGTTCAAGTTACTTCTTTCTCCTGTCATCATACAATATATTCAACAACTCCACTTAAAGTCCTTAGATTAGATCCTTTCCTCACATTAGGGTTACACCAATATCACTTCACTGGCTTAAAGCCGACTCCATTTCCAACAAGCAGGAACATCTTGCCACCAAAAGATATGAACAAGGCAACTCTTGCTGAAGTGTTCCTGTCTCTCCATGTGCACACATGGAAAAGAATCTAAGGAATCTTTTCCTTAGTGAGGTCCTCTTAGCCTAACGTTTACAGATAAATTAGCAAGATTAGCATTCTAGCATGACACTGGATTAGAGCTGCAAATATAGGAACAATGTGTGCTTCTAATCCCTTGATCTACCTTTCCTCAATTGCATAACTGGTAAGAGCATGCAAGGCAGATTCAGCCTGCTTTAATTAGAACCTTCTTCATATTTTAGCCCATTATAAATTTTGTCCTTCCACATACTGATTGTGACTGAAGTTTGAACCACATAGCAATACAATGATTTCACTGTTTGTTATGCATAATTTTTACCTTTATCTTATATAGGATTCTTTGAGTTGCATGCTGTAGCATTCCCATCAAAATCTGCATGTGAATTTGCAAAACATGTTAAGATAAAATGTAGAACAACTCAGGCAACACAAAGGCCTGCCTTAATTGTTCTTTGCATGCAATCATTAAAATACAAAGGACAGAACCCATTGATAGTAATCTTCATCTATTGCCTCTATAATCTTATTTTCATCTGAAACTTGCAATAGGTTTGAAAAATCTCTTCAGTATAAACCTCTTTCTAATTCTGCTGTAATTTCTGTCAGCTCGTTTAGTTACCTGAATGGGAGTAGAACACCCAGCATGTATCAGCTTCTACATGATGTGGAAAGATACTTATGTATGGAAACTCGTGGAAATACTTTCCATGCTTACAGAAACTGTAGAACCGCTGACAGAGAAGAGTAGGCAAAGTTGAAATTAAACCCAGCAGCAGGAATCAAGCATAGAAACCAGCACGTAATGTGCAGTCATGCTCTGGCTATACCACTACCTCCACTGCACAAAAAGCACTGGTTCACCAATCAAGCATTTGATAATGTCTCTGTTAGCACATTAGGTGCTACAGTAACATCTATAAAATAGATGGGGGGGAATCACAGGGACACTGCATTGTCCTTATAACAAAGTGAATCTGAGCCAGTCTCTTGTGAAAACTCGGTGACACAGCATTTTGTAATTCATTCCAAGGCTCCAGAAGGTGGCTGGGCACTGGGACAGGCTCTCCAGTGAAGTGGTCACAGTGCCAAGCCTGCCAGAGTTCAAAAGCGTTTGGACCACGTTGTGCGGGCCAGGAGTTGAACTCAATGATCCTTGTGGGTCCCTTCTCACTCGGGGTATTCAAGGACTCATCTGACCCGCTGCAAAATTCGCACGTTTGTCACAAGTTTAACAAGTGACATCCTACAAAACCAGAGGAGTGAAACCACCGCACTCAAACGTGGCGGTGTGTGCTGCGCTGCTCGATGTGTTTGGATCATCACACATAGAAAAGGGGCTGGAGGCATCTCCACGTCTGCGAGCCACACATCCAGCTAAGGGCTTTGGCAGGCAGCAAAGCCCCCCGCAAAGCCCTGGGGAAGGCTCAGCCGGAGAAGCCGTGAGAAGGGAAGCAGCGGCATCTGGTTTGCTGAGGGGCAGGGCAGCCCGCACCCAGCACCCATCACCCATCCTTCATCCCAGCCGGCTCCCCGGGCTCCACCGGCGCGGCCGGGAGGGCCTCATGCGCCCGCTCGTCACCTCCGGCCGGCTCCGGCTCGGGCCTCGCCCCCTCCTCCGGGCGGGCTCTGGGCCGCGGCAGCGAAGGGACGCACGGGGCACCCTCACCTCCCGCTCCGCCGCCCCTACGGCTTCTCCCGCGGAAGTGACGAGCGCTTCCCCCGCCCCGGGGCGGGTCCTGCCGGCCCGCCCCGGCCGCGCCGGCCCCTGCCGAGCTGGCAGCGCTGCGCGCCCCGCCCCGCCGCCTCCCTCGGTTCCGGCGCTGGCGGCGGGAATGGCGGCGCTAAGCCTCACCGTGGACGCGGGCAGTCCCCCTCTCGGTAAGTGCGGGCCGGGCCTCGCCCCGCGCCGCCCCGATCCCGCTCTGCCGGGGGTCCGGCGGGGCTCTGTCCCCTCCCCGCCTCCCTGGCTCCCTCCTGCCCGTGTTGCATCATGCGGCGCCGGCCGTGCCCGCGTGCGGGGCCGGGCGAGGCGGCACCGGGGCCCGTGCCCGTCCTTCCCATTCCCCCCGTCCGCCCCATTCCTCCCGTCCTTCCCATCGCTGCCGCCCTTCCCCGGGGCCGTGTGCCCGCCGCGGGTCCCTCTGGGCAGCTGCTCGGGCCGTGGCGGAGCGGCCGGCGCTGGGCACGGCTCTGGCTGCGGAGCTCGGGCACGGGTGCAGCCTCGGGTGACTTGGCACGTTGAGGCTGAGTGTGCAGTGCAGCCGTCGTTCACATCGCTGCTCGTGAGCTCTGCCGCTGCCTTGCTGTCTTTCATTTTCAGTTCTAATCCGCCGGTAAAATTCCCCTCTGGGGAACTGGCTGAAAGTTCTCAGATGGTCCCTGCCCTTCGAGGTTATTTTGCCTTTAAAAATGTGATAACCTCCTTCATTGCACTTCCACCCATCTGGAAACGATCTTTTGTATGTGTTCCATAAAATTTCTCTATTTCGTTGTAGCTGTTCAAAATAAATTTTCTTCCTATTCTTCATCGTAGTTTAATGATTTATTTTTCTTGCTGTTACTCCCAAATGGATTTCAGAGTTGAATACAACTTGCATGATTACTGATTGAAGGTATAAAAGCATATGTTTTAAATAGCATTTCTCCTAAGACTTGTTTATACTGATTTGCCAAAAAAGAAAATGATGCAATATGAATTATGATTAACATCAGGTTTAGGGGCTTTGGATACTTATTTTGTTTGACAGCTGGTGTGTGGCACTGGAGGTTAATTTCAGGAGATTGCATGATTGTGTCAGAAATGTTACATATTGCAGATGAAACATTTATATCAAGGAGACAAGCACGCTCATCTTACTCATCCCTACTTCATACTCTTCATTGTGTCTGCCGTGCAAGAAAAGTGTAGTAGTTTTTAATGTCATCAGTATTAATTACATAGCTTGGTGCACATAATACTTGTTATTTTCAAAGCATGTTATTAAAATACTTACGTGTCTTACTAACGTATTGCATAAGGGATGTCGCCCTGAATTTCTCAGATGGATAGCTGAGGGATGAGAAGAAGAACCTTGACTTACTCTTAATGCCACAAGAAGGGTTTTCAGCTGAGCAGAGGTGAGAGCTAGGGAATTCCTAGCTCCAGTGGTTTGTATTTAGGCCAGTGTATTAAT